TCTGGACCGTTCCAATTCGCCTCGTAATTGTAGGGGTGCGTCTGCGATATTACATTGACCGCGAAAGCAGCAACGGCAAAAATACACATTCGTGCATCAACACTGGCATGCCCGCAGACGGCGTATAAAATTGCGTGCCGATTACACGAAGAGAACCCAGTGTTTTGACTGCGAACATGAAAAATCAGCCGATTACAACACTCCGTCCGGAGGTCCTGACCTCCTTCACGGAGTAACAACATTACACAGTCAAATACATAATAAATTGCAGCAATATGTAGAAATAAGCAATAAATATAACAATATGATATGTTAAGCATTAAACAATTTTACCTAATAATAGGTGGGAATACATCATGTTGATATAGGAACTTAGTAGGGTCTAGAGGCAATGCAAGAACTGCACCCACAAGAAGTGGTCCAAGTACATGACAGGTCAAGACTGTAATGTGTGTTAAATCTGTTGTAGGTGGCCTTTATTTATTTATCTATTCTTTCATTTATTGCAATTCTCCACATACACATGTGCATGGAAGACATAGTAGGACAGGTGCACCTTTTCAAGGCCATCATGCTGACAAATAGACGATTGGTCTAGCCTAACAAACTACTGCTCTGTTTATTGTTACTCAAACACAAGGAGGTAAACATAAAAATACTTACTTCGTAAGGTTGTATTTTTGCAGCAGGAAGAAAGATAAAATCAAAACTACAGCAAATAAGACTGGAGGAGTGGGGATAAGAGATTTCTTCATAACCTTATCCATGTTGAAGTAGGCCAAAGGTCATAATTGTGGCCGGACGGGTTGGAGACAGATTGACCTCCTCCCTGCCGCCTAATAACCCGGCAAACAATGCAACTTTGGCGACTAACTGCTACCTTAGGGTGCAGGTTAACCTTCTCACACTGACACTCCCTAATTAGTCAACCTGTGACCCAGTTACGCACAGACACTCACCAGAGGTTATTGGCGCATCCAAGGACACCCCCTGGAAACAAAGACACTCACCAGAGGCTATTGACCTGTAAAAGGACATCTCCGGCTTCCTGGAAACCGGCATCCCTTTGACGAAAACAAAGCGGTACAAAACGAGTCCAATCCCTTATTTCACTTACTTGTTAAATAAACAAGCAGACCTAGGTTGAAAACTCCCAGTACCGGACCAATATTGTTTTCAATCACTTACGGATACTTCTGATCTATATCTAATTTATAACTGTGTACAGCTACTATTTGTTTAATTTGTTTGTACCTAGTCTGTCAATGTCCTTTGTTTGTTTAGCTCACCTTATTGTTTAATTGTTTTTAAACCTGTGTACGCAATTCAGCGGTTTAAACGCTGTCATGTACAAGGATTGTTGTCAATAAACTATTATTATATTATATTATATTATATTATATTATATTATATTATATTATATTATATTATATTATATTATATTATATTATATTATATTATATTATATTATATTATATTATATTATATTATATTATATTATATTATATTATATTATATAAACACAGACACTCACCACAGCTCATTGACCCGAAAAAGGACATCCCCTGTATAATGTCCTTGGGCCGAGGCTTTTCATTTTTACACAAACAACCTTGCCACCTGAAATCTGACAAACATGTAACGAGCTTTTTGTCACCGATATTTTAGACCCTTAAATGATGAAATATAAAAATTCGCATTCCTTATGAAAATGACAAGCAATGTATCATTATCGTACATATGTGACTGTCTCAAGAAGCGAGAAGTTGAACCTGTAAATAGTAGCTCACATTATTATGTATAGTTATTATAGTGTTATTGTTGTATTCTTTTTCCTGTGTATTCATGATCTGTGCTTACAATTACATGTAGCTTGTTAGAGCACAAACGTACAATAAAGGTCTTTTATTACCTCCGGGTAGGGATGTATCCCGTGCGCGGAGGTTTTGTGGGCGAAGATGCCTTTTACGTTCGCAGCCATTTGTCGCGTTTGGGTGGACGGATATGTCTGGGACTTGGTATACGTTTTGCTTTTGGGCTGTAGATGGTGCACGTTGTTTTGGTTTTTTAGTATGTGTGTTTTAGTGCGTAAAAATGATGCGTTGTGACAGCGCATGGACACCCCTTGTGTGTGAAAGTGGTTTTGTCTTTTGATTTTCGGCGTGTATAAAGTGTCGTAGGTGTCGTCCACATCTGGTGAGAGGGGGTGTCAGGTATCGAGGAAAGAAATATTATCGCAGTTGTATGTCGCGTTGGGTAGACGGGACTCGGTGTATCTT